TGCTTTCGGTTTTTGTGGGTCAGGATTGTGGTAAGGTGGTGGATGTAGGTAGTGCTTTTGGTTTGGGTTGTATCAGGAAGGTCGGTTTATTAGGTGGTTAGAGAATTGGAGTCAAAGTATAGGGGGGAGTATAGGATGTGAGGTGTGGGGTTAGCCTATGCTTGCTCATGGAACGTCGAGGGTCGGGCTTCAGATGATGTACGGGAGCCTCCAGGCATCTGGCATACTACGTTCTCGTGGATTCTCGTGAGGGCACGGTGTGGCCGAGAACTTTACATGCAGACTGCGCAGGCACCAAGAGCGGCGCTGGGCAAAATTGTGTTGACATCGAGCCCTGCATGATGTTGCTGGATGGTTTTCCGTTGTTCAACGTGCTGCAGCAAGTCATCGGTCAGATTCAGAGTGGTTGGAGGAAGCGTGCGAAAGTCTAGAACTCGGCCTTCTATAACACCTCACAAGCTTCAGCGGCTCTCCAGCAAGCTAAGACCATGAGCAATGGAGGCGTGTCAAAACTGTTCTTTGTTTACAAACAGTTTTGCTGCGTGCCCGCGATTTCTCAAGCAAGACACTGCGAGACATCTGGCTTTCCTGTATATGTTCTCCACTGCTTCTCTCCACTGCTTCAGGACGCTTGCCAGCAACTTCCGGGAGGTTTGTCAGGTGTTGGATCGTTGGAGTCTTGGAGCTTGCCTTGCGCAATTACAGCGAGACGGATGCCTTGCACGCGGAAGCCAAGTCAAGGAACATCTTTCTCCTAAAGTGGTGCGCCGAGGGTAAAACATCGTGAGCCAAGGCAAGTGCCAGCGATCAAGGCCCCTGCTGTGACATGCGAGAACAGTCCTGAGAGTGGCCAGCACCTGAAACTTTGCCAGGAATAGGAGGAGAAACTCCGGCGGCAGCCCTTTGCCCAGCCCGGGCTGGAGCCCAGAGGGGAGCCCAAGCGGGAGTCCGGCCGTCAGCCGGCGTGGAAGCCTCGGAAGTGAAGAGGCTCGGGCTGTCAAAAGGATGTCAAAGATATGTGACTTTCAGTTCTCACATCATGCCGGAGGCCCCCGTTGACCAACCCAGATACAGCACGACCGGCTTTGGCATCAGGCAATACCTGTGTGCACCTCAGTGAGCATTTAAGCCAGCACAGGAAGAGGGGCAAACCTGCTGGAATCAGGAGAGCAGACCCAAGCAGTGTCTGTAAGCAGGGCCGGTGTGTTATATTACTAGTAGCAGTAGCACCTGTAAGACCCGCTGCTGCTCCTCCTCCACCGCCACAGCAGCAAGAAGGACATTGACAAGAATGGCAGCAGCAGCAGCAGCAGCAGCAGCAACCACAACAACAGCAACCAAAAGACCCACGACTAATACTAGTAAGTTCTGGTACCAGTACCACTCCATGCAATCACTTGACCAATGTTTTGCCGTGCCCTTTGCAACATGTCGGGGGGGGGGGTGGGGTGGGGCGGGGGGTGGGGTGGGGCGGGGGGGGGG